ACTTTTAGCAAGCAAGTGGAGGGAAGGACAAGCCAACTAACCACCTTGAATACCTTGACTTTAGCTGAGTGTGCAGTGAAAGAATAGGGTGGCCTAAATTGTTTGTACTTTTAGCAAGCAAGTGGGGGGAAGGACAGGCCAACTAACCATCCTGAATACATTGACTATAGCTGGAGAAGTGCAGTGAAAGAATAGGGTGGCCTAAATTGTTTGTACTTTTAGCAAGCAAGTGGGGGGAAGGACAGACCAACCCAACCATCCTGAATACTTGGACTATAGCTGGAGAGTGCAGTGAAAGAATAGGGTGGCCTAAATTGTTGTACTTTTAGCAAGCAAGTGGGGGGAAAGGACAGACCAACCAACCATCCTGAATACCTTGACTATAGCTGGAGAGTGCAGTGAAAGAATAGGGTGGCCTAAATTGTTTGTACTTTTAGCAAGCAAGTGGAGGGAAGGACAGACAAACCAACCATCCTGAATACCTCGACTATAGCTGGAGAGTGCAGTGAAAGAATAGGGTGGCCTAAATTGTTCATACTTTTAGTAAGCAAGTGGGGGGAAGGACAGACCAACCAACCATCATAAATACTTTGACTACGGCTGGAGAATTAAACTGTCAACAAGGCAAGGGGTTACCATGGTGTATTTGTCCCAGTGAAGTGAGTCAAGGTTCCTGGGGTCAGCTAGAGCTCTGTAAGTGGCCCAGTAGTAACTGGAGTCCTCTGAGAGAGGGAGAGAGAGAGGGAGAGAAAAGATGGAATACGCTCACACATGTAGGTTATGTTGATGAAATAGAGACATTACTCATGTAGGTTATGTTGATGAAATGAAGACATTAAAAGACTTATTCACTGAGATACAAGCCATATTATGATATGAAGATTACCGTGAGATACAAACATCAAAGTGTTGCGTGAACCAGAGAAATAAGAACAGAAGAGGAGAGAGAGGGAAGACGACATGAATAGATATGAAAGAGAGATACTAACTATTGAGGAGGTTCGGCCATTTGGCCATCACACCACTAGCAAGAGTCATCCAGCATAGAGGTCAACGTGGTACTCATCAGTGGCGGTGTGAGTGGCTCTCGGATAGTCATCCACCCGGACGTCAGTGTCTGATTACATCATCATTACATCATAATTACAATCACCTCTAATGCGGAGCCTCGTCTGCATACCTTAGGGTTCAGTTCCTGTCAGTGGTGGAATTTCTACCTCTCCAACGATAGGTCAGAGGTCGTGCCCCGACTACAAACACAAAACAATACAAAACAAATAATTCGTCAAAAGACAACAAAAACACAAAAAGGAAGAACAGGACAAAAAAAGAAAGGCAATGCTAAGGTGTAGTTCAAGTAAACTGGTCAAACGAGTTAGGTACCTGTGTGGAGTTGAACCAGGAGTACCAGACCTGGAGTCTGGGGTAAACGGAGTCGAGGTACTCCATGTCAACCCTCCCCTCCGACTCCATACGAGACAACAGCGTTTCCATGGTGAGGAAGAATGTGGGCGGGTTGGCATTCTCGTTGTGTTGGACGATGAATTCAGGAGGAACCTTCGGACATGGAGGGAGGGAGGAGAGAGAGAGGAAATAATTAGTGACACTCTAAATAATGCACACCTCTCTATAAAGGATACTTGTTTTAACCCAGTGCTAATACACACACTATATAGCACTGGACTATACAGTGAAAAAAGAACCTCCGAATAAAGGACACCTCTCTAAAAGGGACACTTGGCTCTGCCCCATACTGTACACTAGTGTATACTTCAGAACTGAATAAGGACACTTTAAAGGTGTGCATTATTTAGAGGTTTCACTGAACTTAATTTGAGCATACCTTACTCCTGGCCTCGTGTCCCAGGATCTGCTCCCTGGGTATCCATCCTTCAGAGTTGATGAGATCCAGCCAGTGAGCCAACACATCCTGAGAGGGGAGGGAGAGGAGGGAGAGGAGGGAGAGGAGGGAGAGGACGTGAACTAAACAGCACACGATTATAGAAAAAAAGAGAAGTGAAAAGCAATAAGGATTACTTCTTTCAAAAACTATAAAAAGGAAGTATTAACGTAGGGACTGGCTGGCTTTAGTTACTAATAGAAGCATTCAGTTTGTAGATAAGGGAAACCAGTGGGCATTGTAAAATACGACGCTATACAACATCAAAAGTTGACTGGGGAAAAGGGAAGTGAGAGGAGCTGGTTGCCTTGGTGATGGAGGTGTCCCAGTGGGCCACAAGGAGTTGGTGAAAACCCTCATCGCACAGAAATCCTCGAGGAAAGACGGACGTGACGAAACGTGTACAGCTCTGCCGGCCAGTAGTCCTGCAGGTCCTGTGACCATCACATGAGAGTCATGTGACACACCGGATTTAGTCATGTGACCACTGCTGTGACTATCATGTGACTTACCACCGTTCACATATCGAGATCCCTGCTACTAACTCTGTGGAATGGACAATATAACTGATGATATTTCAGATGTTTCAAGTCTCATCTCCATCACCCTTGATTGGCCGAAGACGTAAAGGAGATCCCACCGAATCAGATGCTGAAAGCAGCTCTGGCACATCCATCTCCGACTGTATTA